CTCTGAGAGGGAGGCAGACATAAAAGGCCACTCCTTGCCTGCTGAGAACGCTGCTCCCTGCAGCCCTGAGTCACCCCACAAACAGTCCGGCTGCTCTGCGGTGCCAGACTAGAGATGCCACCTGCCCGGCTGAAGCCGTCCAGCTCAGATGCCCCACACATGAGTCAGGAAACTGGCTCAGATGGGTACTCTCCAGCCCCAGCCATTGTGGTCACCAGCTGAGGTCCCAGACATTCTGGGCAGGGAAGAGCCACTTTCCCTGAGCCCAAACTCCTGACTCAGATTGCCCAGGAACCCAATAAAATGCTGGTGGCTGTTTTACATTACTAAGCTTTTAAAAATTGACAGAAACACATAACATGAAGTTTATCATTTTGAGGCACCTGGGTGGCTCAGCCAGTTAAGCGTCCGACTCTTGATTTGGGCTCAGGTCATGATCTCACGGTTGGTGATTTGAGCCCCACATCAGGCTCTGTGCTGATAGTGTGGAGCCTGCTTAGGATTCTCTCTCTCCTTCCTTCTCTGCCTCTCCCTAGCTCTTGCTATCTCTCTCTTTCTCTGTCTCAAAATAAATAAATACAGTTAAAATTTTTTTATCATCTTAATCATTGTTAAGTGTACAACTCAGTAGTGTTAAGTATATTCACATAGTTATGCAATAGATTCCAGAACGTTTTCATCTTGAAAAATGGAAGCTCTATACCTGTCAAGAACAACTCCCCCTTTCCCCTCCCTGTTGCCTGTGTCAACCACCTTACTTTCTGTGTCTGTGAACCTCACTACCCTAGGAACCTCATATAAGAAGGATCATGTAGGATTTTTTCTTTTTTTGGTGACTGACTTATTTCACTTAAGTGTCCTTAAGTTTCATCCAGGCGGCAGCACGTGTCAGAATTTCCTTCCTTACCAAGACTGAATAATATTCTATTGTACACGTAGCCCATTGTGTGTCGATGCATTCTTTTGCTGATGGACACTTGGGTTGCTTCCGTCTTTTGGCTGTTGTGAATAATAACTGCTATGAACGTGACACGCCAGTAGTGTCGAGATGGTTCGTGATGCCACAGTCAACAGCTGGAACAATGTTGTGCCTCAATAAAATCTAATTTAAAAAAAAAGTGACTACAATTTGAGTCTTGCCCATCAAAGCGTTCCTGTAAAGATCAGGCAGCTCGCAGACGCTCAGGGAATGCAGCACTGTGACCTCTTCTTGAAAAAACAAACCTTTCTGTGCCCGACAGCACCTTCCAGGGATAGATGCAAACAGACAAGACCAGGCGTGCAGAAGCTAGAGCAGAAGCTCTGGTGGTGAGTACCCAATCTATGTAAATATAAAGATCAAAGGAAAGGGGGAAATCATGGCTACTTGGGTGGATATATAAGATATACACTTTGCCCCTGTAAGAAGATATAAATGTACCTAGTATCTATCGCTATATGTAACTACATATGTAAGACTGTATACCCTTATACACACAAGTATACAAATATGAAGAAGGTGGGGCGTATTGTGACAGAATGATTTCTTCCCCTAGGGGAGCCTGGGTGGCTCAGTCAGTTGAGCGTCTGACTGAGTGTCAGCTCTGGTCACGATCTCAGGATTCGTGAGTTTGAGCCCCACATCGGGCTCTCTGCTGTCAGCGGGGAGCCCACTTTGGATCTTCTGTTCCCTTCGCTCTTTGCCCCTCCCCCACTCGCTCTCCTCTTTCTAAAAAATACAATAAGCATAAAAGGAGAATTTCCCCCTCTAAATATCAGAAAAGCAAGCAACTTAATCTACTATTGAATCATGCAGGGTTGTTTCATTTTTAATAACTACAAAAACAGCAACAAAGAATGATTGATTCCTTTGCCCTGATCCTCGCCTCCTTGAAAAGGGCTCAGCGCGTGTCCTACATGCTCTTCTTCAAGCCCCACGCCGCCCTGAGGTGAGTGGTATTTGTTCACTTCACTGAGATTCAGAGAAGGTAACCTCCTGGCCCAGAGGTGCACAGCTGGTTGTAGGCGGGGACCAAACCGAGGTATACCTGATGTCTCATCCGGAGCCCAGCCCAGAGCCCAGCCCTGCAGGCTCCTGCAGCCCCCACCCTCTCCCAGCCTTTCCTCCAGTAAAGAGAAATGTCCAGGACGTGGTGCTAGGGGCCAAATCAGTTGCTAATTTGGGTGAACTTGGGGAAATGACCTTCTACTCTCAGTTTCCACAACTCTAGAATGATCTTTTGTTTTTCATCACTCATTCAATAACAATAGTTGAGGGACCCTTTGTGCCAGGGCCCTGGGTCACAATGGGGCAAAGTGCTGCAATGCAGGCAGCCTCTCCCCTCTCTGCACCCCAACCTCTGGACACCAAGGGGTCAGGAAAGGCCTCTGCAGAGAAGAGGGACGAGCTGGTAGCTTGGCAAGGACAGGAAGGTGCGCCCACCAAGGGGAGCATGCACATCGTGGGTGGGGGGTACACCAGAGTCCTGGTGACCTGAATCTCTTCTGCCACTTTCCAATCATTTTGCCTATTCTAGAATTTTATATTTCTTTTTTTTAATGTTTATTTATTTTTGAGAGAGAGAGAGAGAGAGAGAGCAGAGGAGGGGCAGTGAGAAAGAGAGACACAGAATCTGAAGCAGGCTCTGGGCTCCAAGCTATCAGCACAGAGCCCGACGCAGGGCTTGAACTCATGAACCTTGAGATCATGACCTGAGCTGAAGTCGGACACTTAACCCACTGAGCCACCCCTAGAATTTTATATTTCAATGAATTTTTGTTCTGAGAGATTTATCTACTTATCATTCATGATAAGTGTGATAGGCTGAATGTTCCCCCCCTCCCCCTCCCCAATTTATATGTGATGGTATTTGGAAGTGATTAGGTCGTGGAGATAAAGCCCTTCTGAATGGGGTTAATGCCTTCTAAAAGAGACCCCACAGAAGTCCTTTCCCACTTCTTCTAAGTGAGGACACAGCAAAGAGATGTCCACCTAAGAACAAGGAAGCAAGTTCTCACCAGACACCAAATCTGCCAGCACCTTGACCATGGACTTCCCAGCCTTCAGAACTGTGAGATATAAAATTCTGTTGTTTATAAGCCCCCCAGGCTGGGTATTTTGTTACAGCATCCCTAACAGAACAGAACAATGAGCTTTGGGATGGTTTTTCAGTTTGGGGCTATTACTCCTAAAGCTGCTGTGGAAATTTGCGTATGAGTCTTTGTTTGGACATATTCTTTCATTTCTTCTGTCTATCTAGGAATAGGATGGCATAAGTTAAATGTCATGTTTCAATTTTTAAGAGATGGCCAATCTGTTTTCTAAAATGATGTAGTATTCATATTCCTAGAGACAGTGTATGTGCATTTCATTTGCTCCATACCTTCACAATATTTGGCTTGGTTGGTCTTTCAAATTGTAGCCATTCTACTGGGTGAGTAATGGTGTCTCCCTGTGGTTTGAAGTGGCATTTCCCTAATGACTAATGATAGTGGCCAGTTTTTCTTGTGTTTAGGAGCCATCCACATATGTTCTTTGGTGAAGTGCTTGTTCAAACCTTTCGCCCATTTCTTTTGGTTGTTTGTCTTATTGAAGAGTTGTAAAAGTTCTTTACATATTCTGGATACAAGTGCTTTGCCAGATCTATGTATTGTAAATGTTTTCTCCCAGTCTGTGGCTTGCCTTTGAATTTTTTTACTGGTATTTTTGAAGTTCATGCTTGTTTTTGTGTTAATAAAATATCCAAAAGAGGGAGAAATTCAGTGCAGGGGTGTGCTCCAAGCCCAGGAGATCAGGTGTCACTCAGAAATGAGGATGAAGTGAGGCTGAAATGCCACAGATTCTGACGTTATACTCCTGTCTGGGGTTAGGATTTCCACATTTGAGGTCTGGCAGGTAAAGGGCCAGGCAGGCTGGTTTTGTGCTGGACACTGTCTCCTGCTGGCTGCTTGCTCTTTTGGACACTTGGGTGCTAGTCTGAGGAGACCTACACCAAGTTGGGAGAGCACGGCCCCAGGAAGCCTCAGAAGACTCCCCTGTTGGAAGTCACCCTGAACCATGTGGCAGAGGGGTTCCTGAGTCACCTGGCTTGTTGGTTGGTGGGAAGCCCTGGGTGCCTGGACCTCCTACCTGCCCTCCCTCGCTCCCAGACTTGTGAAAGGCTTCCTGTTAGCAGCACTTCTCTGGGACCATTGTTGCCTCAGGGCTTTCAGATTTTGTTCTTTTTTTTTTTTTTAATTAAAAAAAAATTTTTTTAAACTTATTTCTGAGAGAGAGAGAGAGACAGCATGAGCAGGGAAGGGTCAAAGAGGGAGACACAGAATCTGAAGCAGGCTCCAGGATCTGAGCTAGCTGTCAGCATAGAGCCCGACACAGGGCTCGAACCCACAATCGTGAGATCATGACCCGAGCCGAAGTCGGACGCTTAATCAACTGAGCCACCCAGGGGCCCCTCGGATTTTGTTCTTGGGAACTCTAAAGTTTGGGAGGACGCACAGAACTGCCCCGCCCGAGGGAGGAGGACTCAGATGCAGAAGTGGCCCCACCTGGCCCTTGAGTAGCTGGGAGCAGCGCTGGCCTTCCTGAGTTCTCTGCTGCTCTCCCAAGCCCTGCCACACAGCTGGGCCGGGCCTCCAGCTGGAGCCCTCTAGCTATGGAAGGTCGTGTCACATAGCTAATGTGTGGGACTTTGGACCGACTCACCAAGGCTACCATTTTCTCAGGATGGATCCCTCTCCCAGTGTGCTTGTGGGGTCAAGGGGCCTCAGGAGACCCAGGGGGCAGGGGTGGAGGGTCTGGGGGGCCAGGTAGTCATTCTAGGTCCCTCACCCCTACAGATGGGGCCTGGAGCCTCCTCCCTCTGGGTCTGACTGGGCCTTGTCAGCTGGGTTTTCAGAAACAACAAAAGAAGATGGAATTTGGGGGGCACTTGATCCTCCTCCTGCCCTGACCCTGCAGGCATGTTCACCTACGGACTCTTCTAGAACATTTTTAAACGCAGAGAGAAAAAAAAATCCACGTAGGACTACAAAGGAAACCAATTTTATTGAATCACAATGATGAAACTACGTGAATATGTGTGTTATGTGGTGCTTCTTGATTAATACATTAGCAGCGTAATAATGTCAGTATTTTCAAACTAGAAGAACATAAATGGTATTTAAGATCCCCGCAATGATTGCAAGGTGATACAGATCCTGCTAGGTTGCTGGCTTACACGATTGAAGAAAACGCTAGATTTCCGCTGGAAGTTAATGAAGACAAAGATGTAAATTTTTTTTCGATCCAAGTTTACAAACCCATCGGATTCTCTCCTCAGCTGCCTGGGGTGGGGGTGGGCGTCCATGGACCCCAGGTTGAAACCCTGGCACAAAAGAAAACGAGGAGCAAATCTGAGGACACAGCCACCATGCTGGTGGCGACACGCAGCACGGTTTCGTTGCAAATCTCCCTGGCGTCAGGCTCATTCCACGGAGTTGGCCTTATGCGTCGTGGAGGCCACCGGGGCAGGCGCACAGACGTCAGGGTCTACGGATCAAGCCAGGCCAGATGGACAAGAGGCGAGCCTCCGTCACTTCCTGCCTTCCCATACGCGGTACCCCATGTGAAGAGAGTCTAGGACAAATCAAGTTCCCCAGGTGTCGGAGAAGGTGCCCTCCCTCACCTCCCATCTGCTCTCATCTCGGGTCCTGCCCCCCCCCCCCGCCCCCGCCCCCATCTCCTCTGGACGGACAGCCTCAGGGGCCTGCGGGTTTCTGTCTGCATCTGTTTCCAGCACCCTGCCTTTCTAGGTCTGGATGGGGGTGAGGAAGGGCGTCCTCCTCTCCTGACAGCCCCCTCCGTCTCCTCCTCCTCTTCATTAAAAAAAAATTGTTTTTTTGGTTAAAGTTTATCTATTTTGAGAGAGAGAGAGAGAGCAGGAGGGGCAGGGAGAGAGGGAGAGAGGGAGAGTCCCAAGCAGGTTCCACACCATGAGCACGAAGCCCAATGTGGATTATCGAATTTTTAAAAAAATGTTTCTTTGTTTATTTATTTATATTTGAAAGAGAAAGAGAGAGAGAGAAGGGAGGGGCGGAGAGAGAAAGGGAGACCCAGAATACCAAGCAGGTTCCTTGCTGCCAGTGCAGAGCCCAACTCAGGGCTCAAACCCAAGAACCACGCGATCATGACCTCAGCTGAAACCAAGAGTCGGATGCTTAACTGACGGAGCCCCGGCCTTCCTTTCTTCGCACCAGCACTTCTCTGCTTTCCCACCACCAAGAGCTCATGGGGGCTGGCGGACTGCTCTGGAGACTTGGCCCGGCTGAATAATTGCCCTGTGGACATAAATGAACAGCGACAGACACAAGCAAGCCTCAGTCTGAATTGCCCCTTCCCCCCCTTCCCCGACCCTGGGGGCTTTGGAGCAGTATTTCTCGGGGTCGGAATATCCCCTCTTGGCATGCGATGGGCCCACTCTGCCCTGAGCCCTGGCCTTCCAGCTTCTGGGACGTAAGGGTCAGGAGAGGTGAGCCATTCGGACACTTTACCCCCAGCATCTGCCGGGAGTTGACTACAACGACCTTGGTGAGTATCCCAAGCAAATGTCAGCACCTCTGTACTTAGTCTCTTCTCAGATAAAGTGGGCCTGGAGGGCCCTCAGCCACCCCTCTCCTGGCCAGCTACCTGTAGACACTCCTGCGGCGCCCACTCAGAGAGTCTTTGTGTTGTTTGCTTTTCTGGCTGAAGGTAAATGGCAAGAAGATAAAGGTTTATTGTCTGTTACGTTCAGCGGCTGTAGGAAATGGTGGGGGGCGGGGCCCACAACCGCAGGCATAGATTGTTTCCGGCTCCGGGAGGGACAGGCGAGTCTTGCATCAAGGTAAACGCGCAGCATGAAGGTAAAGGAGCAGGGGAGGGACATGGAAGAGGCTGGCATGACCCAGATGAGAGCCAAGCCTCCCTCCTCCGCTGCCCTTGGGTTTAACACCCACTAAGGCGGATGTAACCCCTGTGGTAAAGAACCCCTGTCCTGCCTACTGGGGGGGGTCTCTCCCTGGATCCCTGGTCCCCAAGACACTGTGGCATCCAAAAAATAATAGTGATGATGAGGGAAAGAGGGAATTAATGAATAATTGAAGTGGAGTTTTATATTTCACTTAACCTTGCCTTCCCCGATCAGAGCATGTTTACATAGGAAACGTTCAACGTTGTTTTCATTTTAAGAGTCTATGCTTCTGCTTGTTAAACTTTATTATTCTTTTTTTTAATGTTTTATTTATTTCTAAGAGAGAGAGAGAGAGAGACAGCGTGAGCAGGGGAGGGTCAGAGAGAGAGGGAGTCACAGACTCTGAAACAGGCTCCAGGCTCTGAGCTGACAGTCAGCACAGAGCCTGACGCAGGACTCGAACCCATGAACCGTGAGATCATGACCTAAGCGAAAGTCGGACACCCAACTGACTAAGCCACCCAGGTGCCCCTAAACTTTGTTTATTATTCTTAATGTTTATTTATTTTTGAGACAGATCATGAGTGGGGGAGGGGCAGAGAGAGAGGGAGACAGAACCTGAAGCAGCTCCAGGCTGAGCTGTTAGCACAGAGCCCGATGGGGGGAGGGGGGCTGGAACTCACAAACCTTGAGATCATGACCTGAGCCAGAGTCGGAAGCTTAAGGACTGAGTCACCCAGGCACCCCCCCCTTTTTTTTTTTTTTACATCTTTGTCATGTAACTCTTCTTACTCTTAGTTAAGCCCATGTAAATACATTATGATAACGAAGATGTTTGAAGCTCTTTTGTCATTGTAATTTATGCTTTCCCCCTGGCTTTTCCTATCCTCCTTTTGCTAGAAAAGTTTTTTTTCCGGGGCACCTGGGTAGCTCAGTTGGTTGGGCTTCCAACTCTGGCTCAGGTCATGATCTCCTGGTTTGTGGGTTCGAGCCCAGCGTCGGGCTCTGTGCTGACAGCTCAGAGCCTGGAGTCTGCTTCGGATTCTGTGTCTCCCTCTCTCTCTGCCCCTCCCAGGCTTACATTCTGTCTCTCTCTCCCTCTCAAAAATAAATAAGTATTTTTTTTAAAAAAAGTTTTTTTTCTTTCCCCCTAGGAACTGCAATGTTATCGTGATGCTATTCTATTGGCGGTTTTGTTAAATTTTAAAAAAAGAGGGGTACCTGGGTGGCTCAGTCGGTTAAGCGTCCGACTTCGGCTCAAGTCATGACCACACGGTTTGTGGGTTCGAGCCCCGCAACAGGCTCTGTGCTGACAGCTCAGAGCCTGGGGCCTGTTTCAGATTCTGTGTCTCCCTCTCTCTCTCTGCCCCTCCCCCACTCATGCTCTGTCTCTGTCTCAAAAAAAAAAAAAAAGTAAAACAGAAAAAATATATCTGAAAAAACATATAAAGTAAGCTCTATGCGCAACGTGGGACTCGAACTCACCACCCCGAGATCAAGAGTGGCAAGATCTACCGACTGGACGGACAGGCACTCCTGAACTTACCTTTTCTTTCTTGTAAATGTTTATTTTTGAGAGACCGAGAGAGAGACAGAAAGGAGCAGGGGAGAGGCCGAGAGAGAAGGAGACAGACTCCGTTGCAGGCTCCAGGCTCTGATCTGTCAGCACGCAGCCCGAAACGCGGCTGCAACTCACCAACCGTGACGTCGTGACCTGAGCTGCAGTCAGGCGCCCTGAACTCCTATTTTCTTTCTTTCTTTTTTTTTTTAATGCTTTATTTATTTCTGAGAGAGACAGAGAGACAGTGTGAGCAGGGGAGGGTCAGAGAGAGAGGGAGACACAGGATCTGAAACAGGCTCCGGGCTCTGAGCTGGCAGTCAGCACAGCGCCCGACGCGGGGCTCGAACCCACGAACCGCGAGATCATGACCTGAGCCGAAGTCGGACGCTTACCCGACTGAGCCACCCAGGCGCCCCTGGACTCCTATTTTCTTAATGAAAAACGTCGAGACGAAAACAGATCTGTGCCTGCGCACCCGGTAACGGGAGCAGCAGCCCTTCCCTCTCTGCCTGCTTGCTCCCAGCGCCGGCTGATTCGCCAGCCGTTTCCGGGGGGTCCGCTCGGTGCAGACACAGCCCGGGGCACGTGGGCTGCTCGCTGCTAACCCTCCAGACAAGCCCGGGATCAAGCGCCCTGAGCGCGCTCGCTGCGCGCAGCGCCGGGACGCGAACCCACAGGCCCCGCGTCGACCCCCCCCCCCCCCCCCCCCCCCCCCCCCGGGAGGCGCGGTGTGCTCTTCGTCTTCTCAGTCACCTCCGGCTGGAACCGGAATCTCCGGGGGCGGAGCCTGGGAACCTCTATTTTAGAAGCACGGGGTTGCGGGGTGTCCCCAGCCTGGGGCGCACCCTCGCTCAAAAGACCCGCTGAGTCCGCAGCCGAGGAGCCGCGCCGCGCGGTTCCCCCTCCCTCCGCCGTTCCAGGTGAGTGCACTGTGCGCGTCCACAGCGCCGGCGCCCCGGCTGCAGGGGGCTCTGGGGGCTGACTTCTCTCTTCCACCCGGACAGACCCGGGTGCCGACTTCAGCTGAAGGATTTCACGCCTCGGATGGGATTTGAACTCCGCAGTGCCGCCTAGTGGTCGTGGTGAGGAATCCCCGCGCCCCTGCTCCCAGCCGTAGTAGAAATTGGAAGGTTCAGGGGCGCCCGTGTGGCTTAGTCGGTTAAGCGCCCGACTTTCGCTTAGGTCATGATCTCGCGGGTTCGTGGGTTCGAGCCCCGCGTCGGGCTCTGTGCTGACTGCCAGCTCGGAGCCTGGAGCCTGTTTCAGTCTGTGACTCCCTCTCTCTCTGACCCTCCCCTGCTCACGCTCTCTCTCTCTCTCCTAGAAATAAATAAAAATATATATATATAAAAAAGAAATTGGACGGTTCAGTACTGTCATGGAAATGTGCTAAGGGGGCTTGAACTTAAATGTCCCCACACACAAAACAGGTAATACTTATGTGAGGTGACGGATGTGCTTAATTAACTAGATGGGGGAATCCTTTCACAATGTATACATATACCAAATAACCATGAACACTTGAAATATCTTACAGTTTTTTAAACATTTATTTTGAGAGAGAGGGAGCGAGCGAGCGAGAAAGAGAGAGGATTTCAAGCAGGTTCCGTGCTGTTAGCGCAGAGCCTGAAAGCAGGGCTCCGGCTCACGAAACCTGAGATCAGAACCTGAGCCAAAATCAAGAGTTGGAGGCTCAACATTCTAATGTAAACGGCCTGCGTGGCTCAGGCGGTTAAGGGTCCGACTTTGGCTCAGGTCATGATCTCTCGGTTTGTGAGTCGGAGCCCCGAGTCGGGCTCTGTGCTGAGAGCTCAGAGCCTGGATCCTGCTTCGGATTCTGTGTCTCCCCTGCTTGTGTGTTCTCTCTCTCTCAAAAATAATAAATAAACATTAAAAAACAATTT